GGCGTGGTGGCGGGCGCCTGTAGTCCCAGCTACTTGGGAGGCTGAGGCAGGAGAATGGCGTGAACCTGGGAGGCGGAGCTTGCAGTGAGCCGAGATTGCACTACTGCACTCCAGCCTGGGAGACAGAGGGAGGCTCCGTCTCCAAAAAAAAAAAAGAATATATTTCTTCCCATCAAGCTTGAAGGTAAGTATCTTTAAAACATCAATTTTTTTCAGTAAACATTTCTTTAGTGCCAACTATATGTAGAACCCTCTGAAGGGTTTTAATGACAGCAGGAGATCCAGTGACACCTAAGAGTGTCACCCTGCTCTCAGGTGGCTTATTGTCCAAAGCAATATTATCTCTGGGGTAGGAGACTCAATAAGCCAGAAAGTGCTTCTCAATCTTCATGAAATATGACTCTCTTTTTTCAAAATTATTCTAAAAGGCTGTGAGCCTGAAGTTGATTTCCGTGATTAATTTAAGAGGGAAGGGGGAAAGAGAAGATAGTTATACATGAATGTGAAACTTGTGAGTTTGGTTCTGGCCTTTACAGTCAGATAAAGATTTTGAACAAAGTGGACAATAATTTACTGTAAGTAATAAAATAATATTGATCTTGCCATGGAGTGGGAACCAAAACTTCAGGGCCATCCATATGTACTAATTTGGAGATGACAAGCTTGTGGAATCTATTTATAACTTTCACAGTATTTTATGGTTCTTTCTTTCCAAAGAAGCGCACATTATATTGCACAAGGCCTGTGAATATACAAGTATTCTCTGCCAAAAGCAGCTGAGAAAGCAAAAGGATTATCCCAGCATTGTTTTTCAAACCTGAATTTGTAATGGGTAATTGTACAGAAATATTTGGTACTTAACCTTGAAACCCTGAATTCAGGAAAACTTTATGGCCCCAAGGCTACATGGTTTGATGACTCAGATTCGTAAATCCACCAAAAATGAGGATCTGGCCATTTTAACTGTGTCCACCTTTGTGTAGATGTAAAACAAAACCCACAGTGGGCAGCAATGGTGCCTACCACGGTGCTTGCCTGGGCGAAGGGGAGCGGGGTCTTGAAAGTTTGTTGAGATGAAGTGGGTATGAATTCTGACTTCTGTTTAAATAGGTTTGGAAAATAAGGAATCTCCATCCCTCTTAACCTTTGTTCTCAGTGACTCACGTAATACCAGTGTATTAGTAATGTTTTAATTATCCCTGGAATTCAAAATTAGGGACCATCCAGGCAAAGTTTCAGGCAAAGTGATCAAGTATTTACTGTTCCCTTGAAAGAATAAAAACACTGCAGTCAGGGGTTGCACGGGGCGGGAGTGTCTTATTTCCAGAAGCTGAGTTCTAGGACACAAGTATTTCAACCCGCGATCAGAATTTCCTCGTAGATCTCACCACTTTACCTAGTGAACATCCTAGCTGCTGGCTACACTCCCAGACACCCTCCTTCCCTGATATTATCACAGTCCCCTCCAGGGTGGGCTCCCAATCCGGGTAGGAAGAAAGGCGAGAAGCCAAAGGCATCCTTCTATGGCTTCTGAGCAGCTTCCCTTCACAAAAGGGTTTTGCCTGAGCCTCATCTAAGTACAGTAATTCTTAAATGGCACCACAAGATGGATGTTGAATATTAAAAACCACGCCTCCTCTCTTTCCCCGCCTGCTTTGTTTTTATAAATTTTAAAAATTATCTTCATCATACCAGCACACAGAGTGCTTTTTGAACCTGTGTGCTGGCTCTTTACAATTTCACTTTCTGGCTCTCATCTATTTGTAAAATTCTTTATTTTTTTTTCATTGGGTGAAAAAAAATGTTTTTAACTTTAATAGATTTCTGATTTCTCTATATCTCCCACTGAGGGTTCAAACTTAAACAAACCAATGACCTCAAAAAGTCAACCTCATGAGGAAGTCAGCAAGATGAAAAACGATATTTAATGTTTTGCACAAGAATATTTGCATTCCCATTGGCCTTTGCAAATGCAACATTTCTCACCCTCTTGGGTTGACTGCAAAGGTGCCCTGGAGAGAAACACAGTATGCACCTCTCTAATGGTTAACATACCGAATTGTTTTAATGGAATAAATGGTGCCGCTCAGGGGCGATTAATGTAGGGACTGTAGGGTGGATTCCTGGTAGAAAGGACTTAAAAGGAAATTGTGCACCAACAATGGTGGCTGCATTAAATATTTTCATCCAAACCTCAAGTATGACTGAATGATTTTAAGGCCTAATTGAATGAACTCTCAATTAAAAGAAGTTGCAAAAAGCTGATGTAAAGTCATAATACATATGGGGTGCTCTGTGTTCTACAAATGCTTTCAGGTCTGCTGGTGGAAACCACTGGTTATGCAATCAGTTGATTTCAAAAAGTATACCTTTTACATTTACATCCAGATAAAAACAGATGAGGTCAAGCCACTAAACATTCTTGTAATTCAAATAGAAGGAAATAGATTAATTGTTTAGGGAAAAAAAAAAAAAAAAAGGACGACTCATGCTGAGACATCTGTACCAATCTTCCTGAATAACTAAGTTAGGGAGGAAAGACAAATTTGGTGACTGTGGGGGCTAAAGTACTAATTTATGGTCCTCTGAAATAGAAGGCGGTGCCTGATGGACATAGGTATCTCCAGTTACTTGGTTTGGCTGGGCGGTGCGCAATTAAGGCTAATGGTGTTCCCAACTACACCCAAGCGCTAGATCTTTCTTTTCCTTCTGGCTCTACCTCACTGATTCTCCCCAGCACCGGCTTTTGGGGGCCAAGGAAAGTTGGGGCCCTCCTTCTCACTCTTCAGACCCCAGGGTGTCCAGCTTGGGTATCGTTAGGCCGAGCTCCTTGACCCCCCGCACCCGGGAGGAGATCTTCCTCTCAGCGAATCGCCCCAGGCCTCTGGGGACCCCAGTTCGCTAGTCCAGGTCGCCGGCCCTGTCACCGAGGCCTAGCCCAAAAAGCTAGCGTCGTCCACTTTGGAAAGCAACGCAGCTTCCTCCTTGGGCACAGTCCCCACACCCTGGGTCCCGGCTGGTGCTGCGCCGGGTACCTAAGACTTTGACTGGTTAGAGCAGGCGACGCCGAGAGCCAGGCCGCCTACAGGCGTCTCCAGCCCTACCCCAGCGCCGGCTACAGAGCCGGAGCCCCGAGCCCCA